GTGGAAAAACAAAATCCTTAGCAGTTTACATGGAGCATACAGGTTTTACTTGCTTTACTTTAATTCCAGGTCTTCTCAGGGCAGTGTACATTGTTGATTGCCAAACAAGCCATGGCCTGGCCAGCGTGTTGCCTAAGGTGGAGGGTGATTCCCGAGTCTTTGCCTTGCCCGTCTAGTTCCGGAAAATGAGGTTTAGATCTCAACAAATGCCATAGTTGGTACGGGACCATGAGATTTTAATTTGCAGTAGTCACATACTCAACCATTGCCCTTAAACGACCGCATTGCTGGACGCCGGCTGTCAAGGAACAAGACGCAAAGCCCTTGGTTTGTAAAGCGTTGTGCTGTTTAAACAAAGTTCGATTTCCACACGCAACATTTTTTGCAACCTTGAGGGCTCAGCATGGCATTTGTGTTTAAAGTTAGCAATAGAGCATTCCTGACACTGGGTTCATAACGATTGCAGCTAGCAATATAATACTCTAAATAACAGGGCAACTGCGATTTGCCTGACAAGCTGACCAACTAAGTGCCTGACGGCGTCAGAGACCAGGATGCTTTGCTTCCGAAAATTCATGTGTCTTTCCTGTTATCTCAGGGTGTAAGATTGTGTTAGATCCAATGTCTTCTAAGGAGACCAAGAACGGCACCATTAGACTAGCAGGGGCCCAGAGATGCGAGATGATCCTCTTCAAAAGTGGTATCGAGGCCTACTGTCGCTAGCAACAACAATACACCAACGCTGACACTGGGTATCAATGCATTCAGCTTAGAGCACATACGCATCAAAAACTGAGCATGCTCAGAGCATTAGCTGGAGTGAGCTTACACTGCATCGTATTTGGGTAAGTTTATCCATCGATTTCAAATTTAAAGTGCGCGTGTTGCCGGAAATAGCACACGGGCATGTGCGTCAAACATATGTCCGCGTTCACTTGCTCCAAAACAGACTCCAAAACTCCAAAACTCCAAAATATGGAAGAGTCGGGGGCTTGAATTGTCATTCTAGACGATGTTTCTTACATGAGGCCCTGACACAGCACATTTCGTTGGATGCACAGGTAAGATCGAAGGCACCTGATCATCATTTATGTTTCTCATGGTTCCAGCGCCGTCAAGAAAACGACTTCGTTCAGCTTGTGTCTCGATCAGCGGGTCGTCGTTAAAGGACAGCAAAACCATGACCCTGCAAACAGCGTAGGAGAATCCCGCCAATTGGTCAGATATCATTCAGATATCAGTCAGTTAGCATTTTGTGAGCTCTCTGCCTTCAGCGCAATATTGCACGCACAAGCCGATCACCATGAGCCCGAGCACCGGTCGATGGATGCTATAGGTGATCAGATACGGACACAGCTGCAGTTAAAACCCGAAATAGCTATTTCAGCTTGCGTAGCGAGGGCGTCATCAGTCACCAAATACACGTTATCTCCTTATCTCTCCGTTTTACCCCATAGTTTTTGTCTCACGTCATTGTGCGATTAGTGAAGAAACGACCTCATTACATTCCCAGCCTGAGAAACGGGCCGAAAATTACTGACGACAAATTGTTGTTTGCGCATTATCTTCTTTCCACGCATGACCATGAGATTGAGGTGGCGTGTCTCGCGTTCTGCTGGCGGCGGCGGCAGCGGCCTGGAGGCAGCCGTCAGTGTTGATCAGCGTCGTTGGTGCCGCTTGCCTGCGGCTGGGGCGGTGTCTGGGACACAGCGCGCCCCAGGAAGCCGCACGAGGGCTCAAGAGGTGAGACACCGTGCCACACAAAACGCGCAACGGGGGCCCGGCTAGCGGGCTGCAGAAGTCGATTCCATTGGTCACGGCCCGTTGGACGGCGCAGGCAGCATCGTTGAACAAGAATAGCACAGTCCGTGGCAGTTTGGGCGCAGTTAGTCCAATTGTAGTTGGAACAAAGCAATGCTGTGCGACGATAGCTACGGTGCCATGAGTGGCAGAAACAGCTAATGTGCGGGACAGAAATGGAGAGAGGAAAGGGCTCCACGTTATATACTATCAGGGGCCTGAGCCCCCCCCCCCCACCCCCCCCCCCACCCCACCCCCTCACCCACCCATGTTAACTTGAAACCCCCACCCCTACCCCTGCCAATGGCTCTCTGAGCCCCAATTAATAGCACGTTTTTTCCGCAAATTACATCCTATTCCATTCGGTTCGCATGCATGCAATTTCATATCGCCTTAGAATAAAAGTTATGCCTCTGCAGCAAAACAAAACGTAATTAATCGAAGAAATCTTCTTTTAAAAAGTTAAAAGCTTGACATCGAGGATGCACACCCAAGTAGCCAAAACCGGAAGAGAAAGCAGGTTTTGGAGCTGCATCAGGTCAAACTTATCGGCTCAGCCCCAGTCGATAATAGAAAGTGGCACCATTGGAAATAAGGTAAAGGCTGGGAGTAGCACTAGTACTTTGTCCACTTCACTACTGATAGCTGCTGTAAGCGTGCAGCAATTTCGATGAGACAGTAGAAGCAGAAAGAGACTACAGAAAGGAAAAGAACGACTTCTTTTTTAGTAGAAATACTTTTGCTTCTGTTTTATTGCCTCCGCTTTCTTGTTGTTTTGCATAACCTATGTGTAGTAGTTTCATTCGAAAAAAAAACTTTTAGAAAATACTTTTTTGAAGGCGCACTAAGGAATACAGGGACGAAACACCGGATGTCATAGCGGAGAACCTCGGGATGCCGAATAACGCGACTGAGGACCTCATAATGTCATGTTTAGGCACGGAAAATTAAATGTGTCCCCCAAACCAACATAAGACTAAACCGCCTCCGCGAATAATGTTTTTGTGGAGATTTTCAAGTTCATGTTAGCCGGATGCATTATCTCACCTCGTCGCATTAAACATGTTGCATGAGTCGCACGGATGCGGTAGCATATAACATGTTGCATGCTTCATGTCGATGAAAACAAGATTCTTTACATCTGTTAACTTCTAGAGAGGTAATGAAAATCTCTCCGTTGAACGCAAACAAATTTTTGTTGATCTTTTTGGATTACTGAAGCTGAACCTCGGAAGAAAAAACGCATTTCGACCAAATTAATGCAAGAGAATTCATTGGTTTATCAGCATCATGCCTTATTTTCACCAGCGAAACATTCCCAATGGTACTGACATTGCATTAAATTTAACGGCACATATCTAAACCAAAATAATCAAAATGTAAATATGATGCGACGAATTTTACTGCAGATAAACGAGGGCCTCAGCTGTCAAATTTTGCTGAGCATAACCTTACAATCACAATGTCATCGATGCAAAAAGCTACTCAAACTGCTGTGCTGTTAAATAGGCAGACGTCGCCGTGTCCAAATATCGCGAAAAGAAGCCGTGCAGCATCCGACAGCCATTCGCTGGGAACGTCACATCTGACAGGAGCGGCGCGGGGCGAGCCGATGGCAGCACCTGGCCGCGAGCCGATGGCAGCACCTGGCCGCGAGCCGATGGCAGCACCTGGCCGCGAACCGATGGCAGCACCTGGCCGCGAGCCGATGGCAGCATCACCACCGACGGCCGATGACGGCCAGCTAACACCGACCTCCCCCGCGCCAGGGGAGGGGGGGGGGGGGGGGCAGGCAGACGGGTCCCGCATGCGGCAGGGCCGCTTCCCGTGCCAGGAGGGAGGAGGACTGCAGGATTGCAACATGATGCACTCGTTTAGTAGTGCTAAGCCTAAGAACCTGCAAAGGCTTTCAAAAAACAAGATGCATTGCCATACAAAATAAAATCGGGATGTTGTTTTGTAGCGAAGGCCTGCAAAACAAGAGGAAGCATGGCAGACATGACGCATCAGTAAACCATATTCCGCAAAATTAACAATTTGATGACTACATGTCACCGAAAAAAGTGAAAAATAACTACCTGAATCATTGAAACCTAGCACGATGTCATTGGTGGTGTCAAATGTAGCACGAAGCTTATAAAATGACAAATGTTTACAGTACTCAGCTAGTATTAAGAGTGAAGGGCACCCGTGTAGATCTCGGGGGGCATATCACCCCTCAAGCCCCAACCCCAGCTCTTATCCGAGCGCGTAGTATCCACCGGGCCACCGGGCCGTGTACTAATGCCAGGTCAGCGTGGCAGCGCATTGGCCCCTTGTGGGCTTGCCGGCTGGAGCAAGGCAGTCTGCGAGCTGGCAGGTCGGAAAAAATATGCGTACCCTAGAATATACCAACGTTCTCGGCGCTGATTGGCTGTTTCATGACAGCTTTGGTAATGATCTGGTGAGTTTGTTGGAGCTGGTGAATTTTGTTGGATCTGGTGAATTTTGTGGGCAACCTTACAGTCTTCATTGTTTCACACCCATGTAACTGTTTCAAATAGATCCTGGGTGTTTCTGCAATATGTGCTGTTTTTGCGTGCATTAAACCTTTCTCGTGCATTCCAGTTACCAGTTGACTTGCATCTACTCGCCTAGTACCTACCGACCGACACGGAACACTACCGACCCAAAACTGCTCCTACCACACTGCGTATTTATTAACCTGGCTGATACATACTGATACAGTACTCCAGCTCACCCAGCACCCACTCACGCGGTCCATCCACTGATGAAGAGCACCTAACGACCCTTGCTCATTGTCCAGGTGCACTAACTGATCCAGCACACCAGGAGACCCAATACACTAACTGATTGGCATGCTTGTTGACCCAGTGTACTCACTGACCTATTTGTTCACTGACCTAGCCCTCCGACTGACCTAGTGCCCAGACCCAACGACCAAGTGCACATAAGGCATAGTAAATTCACCCGCCCACACGCCCACTGACCCGGTACCGACCCAGGGCATCCACTCTGTACACCCACTGACCCGGTACCGACCCAGGGCATCCCCTCTGTACACCCACTGACCTGGCACCGACCCAGGGCATCCCCTCTGTACACCCGCTGACCTGGTACCGACGCAGGGCATCCACTCTGTACACCCACTGACCTGGCACCGACCCAGGGCATCCCCTCTGTACACCCACTGACCTGGTACGGGCCGGCGGCCGTGTGCTGCCCACAACTTTGGCAGACCACCTGCCGGCAGCTCACGCACTCGGTCTTCGATTTCGGAGGCACCTGGAAAGCATTCGCACGTGTATAAGCAAGTGGAGTTTGTCGGCTGTTTGCTGAGGGAGGGGAGAGCTGGCGCCACCATTCACTGGAACTCCAAGACTCTGCGTCAATGAAGTGGCATGAAATTCTCCTCACCGCCCACCGATTTTGGTTAATCATACGCGGGAGAAATGACCGTCTCCGGAGCTCCATTATCTTTTTTCATGCATCTCCAGACGACAATGACATGTCAAAACATTCCAAACAACACCACTTCCAGTCCAAGTAACAATGACACACAAGCAAACCAAATGAGTACAACAATGACTGCAGACGAAAAACCGCCTCAAAACTTCGTCGCCAGCCGTCCGCCCTCGCCTCCGCCGCGGCCCGCGCCTCCACGTCCCGCCCGGAAGCTGGGTTATAGGGGGCGGCGGCTGGCGCGCGCCCCCTGACCGGCGGCTGTCCGGCCCAGCTGTGGTCGAGCGACGTCCGACAAGCCGCGCCCATCGATCGCCCTGTTAGCACTGCAAACAGGCGGCGGACGCGGCGCGGCGCCGACGCCCGCAAACCCAACACCTCGGCACATATTTGTCACGGCTTAAGGTATTGATCTAGGATGAGAATGGGCCACTCGGTGCCGAAAAAAGGCGCGCGGACAGCGTCACACCCCCGGAAACACAACAAAGATGGCCGCCTCATCCGCGTGCCAATATTGAGGGACGGCTAATGATACTGGCAGCGCGCAATGTCATGGCCAAGCGGCCTCCCCAGCCATAGCCCATCCGAGCATTGGCACTCGAGCCAGCAGCCAGCACGAGCTCCGTCTGCGCTTGCCAATGGTTCATCTCATACCTATCCTGCCGTGATATTTACCATTTAGCTGCCTTGGAGGCCAGTAACACAATGACGACTCCAGGCCGTCCAAGTTGGACGTGGCAACCAAAATGATTGGAAATAAATTGGAGCTTGGGGGAAAACCGTATGTGAGCTATATGGAAGAAAAAGGTTTGATTCCTATGCTTTGATAACGAAGTAGATGAGACTTTTCGTCAGTTTGGTATGGAGCTATTTTCAAACAGGAAACGAAGGATTGAGCCTAGTGTGCTACATGTTAAATCTGAGTGCACGTCGTATGCTTTGGATAGAGTCTGGATGCCTACTGCATGTCAGAACTGTGAATGGGATTGATTCCATTCCGCAAAAGTTGGCTGACCCCAAAAATAGTCCCTTAGCTCACCAGCCCGAGAAATCGCTTTTAAGCATGAGTTTAAATGGATCGCAGTCAGCCTAGCTGTCTAGCCCGATTCTATATCTCAAAAAATGTTGAATTTTATTTGCATTGTACTTACTTTACCATGTTTCACAGCTTGCTTAAACTACAAGCATGGGAGAAGAGTGTTTCGTTGTTTTGACTGCATCGTGCGAGTGACAGACGAACCGTGTGAGCACCTGGATTGGACACGGCCACTCCCACCAGCATTCGAAAGCAGAAAAACAACTGGGAGAGCAGAGATGGAAGGTGGCTCCTTCAAATCAGGGGTAGGAACCTTATGCCGATATTCGCTCGATTGGCGGAAGCTCAAAATTTTCAAGATATGACTGTTGATAGCAACAGCTCCTCGGTACATAGAAACAAGTTGCTGGTTCACTGGAAAGTAGCTCTTTTTTTGATAATCCGAGCATTTTGATTCTCTAGGATCTGGTCTGCATGATGCGGAAGAGGGCTTTTATCTCAAAGCAGACACATGTGGAGAGACTGTCGCATCTCCATGGCTAATCGCATTGCTCGGTGCGATCGCAGACTCAACGCTTTCGTGCGAGAAGCATGCCACCAGAATCATGGAAAATGCAACAGGACTCCGATATTGCTGCACGACCTCATGCACTGTTTTTCATTTGTCATTTGGTGCGTTCAAAATGATTATTCAATCCCACGTCTTCCAACATATCTCATACTGACTGAGCATCCGCCAGCCGACTGCATGACCAAGTGGCAATTGCAGACAATCCAAAAAGTGGTCAGGATTGCTTCTGGCATGAAATGCAGCTAACATGTCACACCTTGTTTTTAAGCCCCGAATTGACAGCCGTACTGGCGACTAAGTGAATGGGATAAACGTAAAGAAATACTTTTTCAGGGCTGAGATACGAGGCCCCCTGCTCCTAACTTTCTGCTGTCCTGCCCATTTTCTCGCCACGTTCGTCTGTGTCACTTGGTAAGACACGTTCCTCTACGTCAACGCTGCGCGACCTGCCCAGGTACACACTGGAGGCCACCAAGTGGACACTTCCGTACTGTGCCACGACAGGCCGAAACCGCAGGCCTCCGGCCACCACTATGACGTCATATGTGAGGAGATTCAAAGCTCTTACTTCAAAACGCAAGTGCTTCGAAACGTTACTTCAAAGCACTGGCCTTTTGAAGTGGCGCTTCTTCATCGGTATTTCTGTATTGCTGTTCTCCTGATGTACATACTTGGCTCAATAATATTTTGTTAAATTAGGGCATTCAACCGATTCGCATGGAGGGCGGAAGAAGGCTTTTGACGGAGAGTACTGGAAGTGTGCCAGGGAAGGGGTCTTGAACATTGCAGCGTTTCCTTCACGTGTGGCTGTGAGTCATGCTGAAATATTTAAGAACTGTATTAAATGCGTATCCAGCGGAGAAGGGGTTCTCGCCCAACATGATCAGCATGTAACCAAGGAGAAGGGGAAGACAAATGGAACAAGACGTGAAATATTTACAAGTTACCGCTGGAAGCTATAATGAGATCCAAAGGTAGCCTGTTGCCAAAAGTAGTTTAGGTTCAGCGGGACTGACGTTATTCAGTCGGGACGCAACGGGTCAGGCCTTAGCTCCAATTTTTTCAATGTTTTCGGTGGAGTTAACACTGGCAGCGATGTCGCTCTCAACAGCGCATATCGCATGCGCCGTGGATGCGTCTGCTCACCGCATAGCGTCCTGAAAGCAATCAAACCATGCGATCCGCACCAAGCCATACCTGAACCAAAACTGAATCGCCAAAAATGAATCGCAAGATAACCGATACCATTCAAAACCAAAAAATCAAAGTCAATACCGATGACAGTACCGATACCAATACATATAAAATATAATATAACATAACACATACACCTTATGTTGTGTATTTGTATATTGCATATATATATATATATATATATATATATATATATATATATATATATATACATACCAATACCGATAACAACAAAGCCGATACCAACCAAAGCCCATACCAATCAGACCCCGTACCAATCAAAGCCCGTACCAAACAAGGTGGTAACGCCAAATTATGAGCTACAGGCATGAATTATTTTCCGAGCGGTACCCTGACTTAAACACGATATTCTTTTCGCTTGCAGTCCAGACGAGGGTGGCTTGCGAGGGACGGCCCATAACTGAAGCCATTCAAGGCGAAGTTCTGTCATTATCAGCCCAGTCCCTGTCAGTCAGTGCGTGCCAGCGACGGAGCTCGGGATTACGACGCCCTCACCAGGTCAGTGCCGGCCGGCGACGGAGCCTGGGATTAGGGCGCCCTCACCAGGTCAGTGCCGGCCGGCGATGGAGCATGGGATTAGGGCGCCATCACCAGGTCAGTGCCGGCCGGCGATGGGGTCCGGGATTAGGGCGCCCTCACCAGGTCAGTGCCGGCCGGCGATGGAGCATGGGATTAGGGCGCCCTCACCAGGTCAGTGCCGGCCGGCGATGGAGCATGGGGATTAGGTGCGCCATCACCAGGGCGTTGACGACCCGGCGACGGTGCCCGAGATTAGGGCGCCCTCACCAGGTCAGTGTCGGCCGGCGACGGAGGCATGGGATTAGGGTCGGCCAATCACAGGTCCCGTAGCCGACCGGCAGACGGTGCCCGACCGATTAGGCGCCATCACCAGGTCAGTGCCAGGGCCGGCGACGGAGCATGGGATTAGGGCGCCCGTCACCAGGTCACGTGTCGGCCGGCGACGGAGCATGGTGATTAGGGCGCCACATCACCAGGTCAGTGCCAGGCCGGCGACGGAGCATGGGATTAGGGCGCCATCACCAGGTCATTGTGCCGGCCGGCGACGGAAGCATGGGATTAGAGCGCCTCACCAGGTCAGTGCCGGCCGGCGACGGGAGGCAATGGGATTAAGGGCCGCCCGTCAACCAGGTTCAGTTGCCGGCCGGCGACGGAGCATGGGATTAAGGGCGCCCTCACCAGGTCAAGTGCCGGCCGCGACGGAGCATGGGAATTAGGGCGCCACTCACCAGGTCAGTGCCGGCCGGCGACGGAGCATGGGATTAGGGCGCCATCACCAGGGCCAGTGCCGGCCGGCGACGGAGCATGGGGAATTAAGGGCGCCATCACCAGGGCAGTGCCGGCCTGGCGACCGGAGCATGGGGAATTAGGGCGGCCATCACCAGGTCAAAGTGCCGGCCTGGCGACGGAGCATGGGATTAGGGCGCCATCACCGAGGGCAGTGCCCGGCCGGCGACGGAGCATGGGATTAGGGCGCCTCACCGAAGGGCAGTGCCGGCCGGCGACGGAGCATGGGATTAGGGTCGCCATCACCAGGTACGTGCCGGCCGGCGAACGGAGCATGGGATTAGGGCGCCATCACCAGGTCAGTGCCGGCCGGCGACGGAGCAGTGGGATTAGGGCGCCATCACCAGGGCAGTGCCGGCCGGCGACGGAGCATGGGATTAGGGCGCCATCACCAGGGCAGTGCCGGCCGGCGACGGAGCATGGGATTAGGGCGCCATCACCAGGGCAGTGCCGGCCGGCGATGGGGTCCGGGATTAGGGCGCCCCTACCAGGTCAGTGCCGGCCGGCGACGGAGCATGGGATCAGGGCGCCCTCACTAGGTCAGTGTCGTTTATAGACATAGGTACAGAGCAGGGGTGGCGCCAGGTGTGACCAGGAAATGAGGCAGCTCCGGGTACAGGATAGACACCAGGGAAGGTTTCACCTCATTGGGCACGCAGGCGGCGTCAGGGACAGGACCGGCTTCATGGACAAAGTTGGCCCCAAGCGTCAGGGAAAGAACTGGCTTCATGGACAAAGGTGGCCCCAAGGGCAGCTGCGACTGAAAGGACCGATGCGGTTCAAAGACCGGGGGCCGCTTCGGGGACAAAGATCCTTTTTCGGGGCAGCGGTGGATCCACGGGTAGAAGGCATTGAAGGACCCCAGGACCCTAGGGATGAGCACCACCTCGCGGCAAAAGTGTCTCCAGAGACAGAGCCGTCTTGGAGGGCAAAAGTTATTCCAGAGGTAAAGACGGCTGCAGCGGGGACGGGGGCGACCAAGATAGAGCCAGCGCAAGGGACGTAATAATTTCAGCGGAAGGGCGTCAACCAAAGCGCTCCCAGAGGCAGAAGGAGACTGCGCTGCTACAGGCGGCGCAAAAGGTAGGGCCGGCTTCAAAGACGGAGGTGGCTGAAAGAGCAGAATGGGCTTTGGGGCCCAGTGCATAATTCTAAGCCACAGGCGGCTCCAGACGCAGAGGCCTCTCCGCAGGTAAAGGTGGCTCCCAGGGCGGGTGCACCACCGCAGGGTCAAGTGTATTTCTAATTCCATGTGCACCGCCGCGGGGTAGGGGCAGTGGTGGCGTCAGTGACAGAGAGAACTCCGGGAGCAAAGCTGGTTTCCCGGTGCTGGCTGGTTCAGGTCACATTTGTTCCGTGAGCCAGGGACGGTCTCAGGGACAGGTGGCCTCACCTCGCGGATCTGGCAGAGGGCGCACTTGACCGGCGGCCGGTGCCCCGGATCGGCGCCGACCCTGAAACACGAGCAACACGCAGTGTTAGAGGGGTTTAGAGTAGGACATGAGAAGTCCGTGTTGTGTAAGAGCACGGGTGAAAATTAAGCGCGAAAAACCAGGACAATGGAGGTATGGTTGGGTACATATTTCGGCAACATGCCTCTATTGAAACAATAGCAGAAGACAAGGATAGGAAGAAAGACAGACGCCCTTCCGCTATTGTTTTGATAAAGGCATGTTGCCGAAATATTAACCCAACTGTATTTCCACTATCCTGATTTTTCTCCGAGGAATGAGTCTAATACTGCTGTCTTGCAAACACTTTCCAACAACTTCCTGGAGTTAGAAAGTAAATGGGATCGACAAAGCCCTTTCTCCAGCTGCCTAGAACCTTGCACATTACCACACAAGTTACAACTTTCAAACCTTTCACACAAAGATCCTTGGCCTAAAGTTAGAAGCAAAAGCGACTGATAATGGTCAGAAACAATTACCTCAGCGTCGAAAACAGCTTCCGGGAAAACTTGTTCACGTCGCGTAACTCAAAAGGTTTTTGTTGTATATCATAGAAGTCATGCGGTCAGGCACCTGTGGCATACCACGATGACATTGCCCGCTCGGCTGGAGGTCGCGCTCCGCGACCTCGCGCCGAAACAGTGGCACCACACCGCTCCCCCGTCACGCACCATCAGTATTACCGGTTATGCTCGCTAGCCTCGCTGTGGCAGCCAGTACTGCCATTAGGGAGATTGCTCGCTCTGTGGAGCAGCCCGCACGGCAGCAGCCGGCGTGGGACCTCGATCGTCCGATCATGTGGTCATCCTCCGTCAGAGGAAATGTGGTCATACGACCCGACGACCCTCTTTCAGACGACACGTGGTCATACGACCCGACGATCCTCACATGTGGCCATGAGACCTGGCGATCTTCCGTTAGACGACACGTGGTCATACGAGCTGGTGATCCTCCGTCAGACGACACGTGGTCATGAGGCCTGGCGATCCTCCGTCAGACGATATGTGGTCATACGACCCGCCGATCATCCGTCAGATGACATGTGGCGATCATTCCTCAGACGATATGTGGTCATACGAGCTGGAGATCCTCCGTTAGACGACACGTGGTCATACGACCCGACGATCCTCACACGTGGTCATGAGACCTGGCGATCTTCCGTTACACGACATGTGGTCACACGACCCGACAATCATCTGTCAGATGACATGTGGCGATCACTCCTCAGACGACATGTGGTCATACAAGCTGGTGATCCTCCGTTAGACGACACGTAGTCATGAGACCTGGCTATCTTCCGTCAGACGACATGTGGTCATGAGACCTGGCGATCCTCCGTTAGACGACACGTAGTCATGCGACCTGACGATTTTTCGTCAGGCGACATGTATTCATGAGACCTGGCAATCCTTCGTCAGACATGTAGCGATCTTCCGTCAGACGACATGTGGTCATGAGACCTGGCGATCCTCCGTTAAACGACATGTAGCGATCTTCCGTCAGACAACATGAGGCGATCTTCCGTCAGGCTATATGTGGTTATGAGACCTGGCGATCGTCCGTCAGACGACATGCGGTCATACGACTTGGTGATCCTCCGTCAGACGACATGTGGCGATCTTCCGTCATACGACATGTGGTCATGAGGCCTGGCGATCCTCCGTTAGACATGTGTGTTCCGTCACGTGACATACGGCCACTAACTATCTCATGATCACAGGCCAGGTGCCAGGAGAGCTGCAGTGTCCCAAGGCGCACCAACATGGTGCACTGGTGAGCTAGGCATACACTGTTGTACTGCCACAAGCACCTATCGTTGATTTAACCACCTACGAGAGCGTTTGCGTGCGGTCCATAGCGAGTCCCTTACTAGGTAAAGGACAGATGTGCATTCTGCCTGGTTATGCTTGAATTTGCACCGCACTGACGAATGAAATATCCACATAATCTGTATATGTTATCATTATAATTATTTGCCACACCCCAATGCCTATTGCAACTCTCAGGTTCTCTAAAATGTGTTTCGTTTGCCCCAATGTTTCGCAATGGGACCGTTAAAAGAAGTCGTACAAGTTGTTTGACTGGAAAACGCAGACAATCTGTTTCCGAGAGCATGATAAAGCGGTCGCTGATGACTAAAGTGGAGCCATCAGGGACAGTGATGACGTCAATCGTATAGAATTTCGGGAAGGGGCAACTGATGGGCTGTAATGATGTCCCTGCTCACGTAGGCTGAACAACTTCAGTCATCAAGTCAGTGCAGATTATGCAAAGTTCATAGCAGAGTGCAATCGAGTCGGCGTTCGTTGCTCCCTGAAACGACCAGGTAGCAGATGGTATACTCGTCTTATCCCTGCAGGATGATGATGATGATGTGCCATGGAGGATGACCATGCAACTCTCCTTCCTGTGCACGTTGTCACTGCTGACACCTTGAAACGAGCGGTGGCTTCAAATGCATTTTGTTCTCGTTCAATCACCTGCTTGTTAGAAGTCCTGTGTAGGCAATGAGTCCTAACAGGAATCATCTTAGCTGTGCGCTTCTGTTTGAAGGGACTGGTTTGGCTTATAAAACACCGCAAATAATTTGGTTTCGACAGTAGGAACACATCATCAATTCCGGTGTTTCCAAGGTGGACTGTTCCAGTGCCGTCACTGGGTCGGCTTCACAGGTGCGTCAGCATCAGCCCCCTCCCCCCTCCCCCCCCCCCTCCCCCGATGACGTTGATGGTGCTCTTGACATCGTACCTGGCATTGTAATTTTTAGAACACACAACTGAACGGAGATTGAGAACCTAAACGAAATGAATACCTACGCATGAAAAGTGCGACTCACGATGCAGAAGCGCAATATATTTGACTCAGATGCGCAAGTGCACGTGGTTTATGCTTGCGCTGTGCTCGCTCCATACATATGACCCAATGATTCTAGAGCAACAGTGAGCTCGGTTGGCTCTTTGCAGTCGCTTATGTGCAGAGCGTGACATGCCAGAGCTTAAAACACCGGAAAACAGTGACGTCAGTGAGATGTGTCCAGCTTAAAGCACGCCGCCCTGGAGCCCTGGTCACTCAAGCACTTATTGGGGCAAAAAGATGTACGGTGTTGTCGCGGATGATACACTTATGAGCGCCTTATCTACGATGTGTTGGACATTTTCTGGAGAAAAATGTCATAACAATGGTCGGTTATTGGCTTCAGCGTTCAGCAGCCTAGGATGGTACGCGGGCTTCACTCAAGCCGCAGGGCTGGTGCTTCATGCGATGATAGGAGCGCTCTGGAGGCTGGCATTCTCCTTTTGCGCAGTTGATTCCACTAAAACTGACTTGCCTGGTCGCTTCGCGACATGTTTGAGCCATTCGTCAGGGTGTTTGGGTGCGTCGGCTGACTCAGGAGCATGCAAGCAGGAGCTGCCGGGTCCTGCCTGCAGCTGGGAAGGTCTGTCTGACCTGCAGTCGACTACGGGCCATACAGGGCCCGTTCTTTCTTAAAGGTCGAAAACGTTAGAACCAATCAGGAAGCGGTGACCAACAGATCTCGTAAAACTGCATTAGACAAGTGTCATTGAACACCATTGCAAGAGGTCGTTGATGTGGGGATGCCATGTCATCGTGTTTAAACTTAACAAGTTCATCCTGTCTATGCTCGCAATGGGCCTTGGCGCCGTGGATCATACCATAATGGTGTGACCTGTGACATTTGGCGTGAAGTCCCACGGGTAAAGTCTTCTGTGTGAGAGGGTCTTGCTCCGTTATTTCAAGCATGGAGCACGACACAATACCGAATCAAGTGGCAATCGATAGCACTTGTCAGACGGCATGGAATACAGGCAAATTATCTGTGATACAAGTCAAAGCCGCCATGAAATGTCAAACGTTACTCCCCAACATCTCTTGACTTGGATTTGGCATATTTGACGCAGGCTGGATATGCTGCCTTCCAACTTACTTCAAATAGAGCCAAATGCCCATGCAGCGCTGGGCAGATATTAAGCAAACCAATAGAAAGTAGGGCATCAGATCCGAGACGGGACGCGAGGTCTGGCCGACGTACCGCGGGAAAAGACGTCACATATTATCATTACTCGTGAGCTATCAGCTTCAGGTCTGACATTCTCATCACCATCAGCGTTAGGAATGATCTTCCAGTTGCCACATGGTCATCCTCAAGCCTACCCAGGGACCTCCGAGGTCCTCTGGTCAGGTGACGAATGTCGATACCCAGCTGCCAACAAGCTATAGACTTGGAGCGATAAAAGCCAATGAAGCTCTCGAGAGAACCGAGGAAGCAAAAATCGTGCCCTCAGCGTCGTCCTCGTTCCTCCCGATGTTATCATGGTGCTTTGCACTGCCAAATATGCTGGACTCCTCGAAGTCTACAAGGCCTGCAAGTCATCACATATTATTATGGACCGCATTTACCACGTTAGACTGCTCTCATTTGCCTTTACATGAGTATTAAGTAAGGTATGCGGGTGACATCAAATCACATCAAGAAATTGTATCCATACTGAGCCAGTCTTTTAGCGCACTGGCATACGATAGTCCCGTTTCTAGAAGTGAGGCCGGACACCGAATGATTCTTACTTGAAGTATGAGAAAACTTTCAGCTTTAGCTGTCTGGTCCGGCCAGACTGAGCCGGCATGGTCAATCACGCATCCTTAAACCTTGCAACCAATGACCGCAGCTTCGTGTCGTCTGCAGCGAAAAGGGGGCGTCATTATTCCAAGGCCGCGCTGTAAAACTGTGCCGCATTTGCTCACAAACTGTCTAATCGGACATCTCATTTCCGCAACATTTAAACATGAATGAAGTAAGGCCTCTCTTCGACCAGTATAAAAGCAAGCTTTCTTACTGTGCACGGTTGTACAGCGCGGGTCCTCCTCCAGATCTTTGGAGTCCGGCGTAGCGGCGACATGAGACCAGCGCTGTTTAACGGAGATGGGAGCGGATATAGCACCAGCAAACGTGAGAGTCGGTGCGCGTACCGTCTGCGGGCGGGCGC